TTTTTTAAACAGTCTCATTCTGTCACCCCAACTAGAGTGCAGTGGCATCACCATAGCTCACTGCAACTTCAAACTCCTGGGCTTAAGCTGTCTTCCTGCTTCAGCCTCCCAAGTAGCTGGGACTACAGATGCACACCACCACACACAGGTAATGTTTCTATTTTTTGTAGAGATGGGGTCTCGCTCTTGCTCAGGCTGGTCTTGAACTGATCTCAAGCAACCCTCCTGCCTTGGACTCCCAAAGTGCTAGGGTTACAGGTGTGAGCCACTGTACCGGGCCTTTACTTATATTTTTAATTAACATCACAGGTACAGCTAGACATAATTTGGGAAAAGGCACTTTACTTTTTGTTTGAGAAAAAATAGTCTTGTCAGTTTCATACTAACATATTATTATACATAGTAGATATAATTGCTCTATTTTTTCAGCTATGCAGAGGGTAGATGTACAAAATTCTAATAACTTCCATTAGTAATTGAGGATTTTGGAAATATTTTCCATGGAATCAGCAGAAATTACTCATGGATAAGACTTTCTCATAAGTGACAGTGACAGTGAAGTTTAGAGAAACTATTAGGGGACTCTTTTAGTAGTCCAGGGAAAAGATAAGTAATGGTGACTATAGAGATGGAGAAGAGGAAATTTAAAAAAGAAAGAAAGGAGAATAGGCAACTGTGGTGAAGTAAAGAGTTAAATTTTAGACATGTTGACCTCAAGTTGTCCTTAGCATATATATTAATATACATAGGTGGAGATGTCCTATAGGCAGCTGGAAATACTGATCTTTAGCTAAGAAAAAGAGAGCTTGGTGAGATGTACAGATTTCAAAGTTGTTGTATCCAGGTAGTAACTAACATCACAAGAGTAGATAAAAAAAAAAACCCAGGGAGATTATACAAAAGAAGAAGAGGCTGAGGAAAGAATTCTGGAAAACATCAATATTTATGAGCCTGCCAGAAAAAGAAAGGAACCAGGAAAACTGAGGAAGAAAGAGGTAGGAAAGGAACCAAGGAAGAAGAGGTGAACCATGTAGAGAGACAGAACCAAGGGGAGAATATCAGGCAACAACGGCCAAATAGTATGAAATATGTAGAGAGATGAAATAATACTAGTAAACATACTAAGGTCATGGGTGACCTTAGCAAGACTAGTTCATGTAGAAAGTGCCTAACTATGTTTATGAAAGATCGTACATATAAATATGCATATGTATCTGGCTTGTAGTATTGCAATTTAAAGACTCACAAGTTATTGACCAGCAAACTCTTTTTTAAAGTATAACCCTTTGGATGACAGAATGAAGATAAACCATTTTTAATTCTTCCTTGTAGTATTCTGTGTTTTCTGACTTCTATTTACTTTTAATTAATTAACTAATCATCAGGGAGAATATATTACTCTCATATTTGAAGGAAGCATGGCTATTAAAAAAGCAGTGGCTCAGGCCTGTAATCCCAGCAATTTGGAAGGCCAAGGTGGGAAGATGACTTGAGGCCAGGAGTTTGAGACCAGGCAAATTTGTTAAAGGTTGTAAGTATTTAACAGATGATTCAAATACAAGGCTTTTAAGATCCCTTCTTGACTTGAACAAATAAATGAAAACATAAAAATTACAGTAAGTTTAAGTTACTAAGCACTTAAAAACAAAACTTATGTGATATCAGAGATTCTAGCCTATTGTTTATTTTTTATTTTGTTTTGAGACAGGGGTCTCTCTCTGTTGTGTGGCCTAGAGTGCCATGGTATCATCATAGCTCATTGCAACCTCCAATGCCTGAGCTTGAGCGAACCTCCTGCCTCAGCTTCCCAAGTAGCTGGGACTATAGGCATGTGCATTCACCCAGCTAATTTTCAAATTTTTTTGCAGAGATGGGGTCTCTGTGTTGTTCAGGCTGCTCTCAAACCCTTGGCCTCAAACAATCGTTCTGCTTCAGCCTCACAAAGTGTTAGGATTACAAGTGCGAGCCACTGGGCCAGACTGATTCTAGCCTATTGAATGTCTATTATATATAACCCGTGAAGGTTACAGAAGTACATAAAACACAATCTTTTTCCACAGGGTATCAAATGAAATTGATCAGTATCAGAAAACAGTGAGCACAGAAATTAAGCACAATTTAGCCTAAAAATTGTGACAGTATCCTTCATTTGTAGATAATTTAAGAGGATCCTTAAAAATAATTCTGGTTTCAGAAAAAGATTACAACTGAAAAACAAAAGCTAATTGCAAAAACTGCTCACCTTTTACAGGAAAGGTAAATGGTTCCTTAGTCAAGTCAGGGCAATCAACTACAGAGACCTGGACATCAGCAAAGTTATCTTTTAGTCCTTTCTGCATAACTAATAAAGATAAGGAAAAAGGTTATTTAACATGAGGTAAAAATTTGGCTACCATACATCAAATCTTCCCTCAACTTTTCTGTGTGTCATACTTCCAACCTAAACTTGTGTCATGCAAAAGAGGTGGGAGGAGGGCAATGGTCTAAGGAATATAATTAGCTATTAGACACAATAATAAGATATAATGTAGACTAAGACATATATCTCATCTATAGTGATTACTAAACAGTGAAGGTAAACAGACCACTCAGGTGAGGACCACCTTCCTTTTGGGGAGGAGATTCCAAAAACATACTGAAATGTAAACAGTTAAACTGTTAAAAAGTAAGCAATCACATGCAACAACTTCAATGAAGATAATGGAGAAACTGTTGAGGAAAAGAAGCCAGATACAAAAGAATACATATTATATGACTTCATTTTATGTATTACAAAAACAGGCAACTGATCGAAAGTGACAGAAGTCAGAACAGTGGTTACCCCTTGGGGTAGAGACTTTGACTGGGAAGGTGCACAAAGGAACCCTCTGGGATATTGGAAATATTTTATATTTTGATCTGAATGGTAGTTACCTGGGTGTAACCATATGCTAACATTTATCAAATTGTACCTTTAAGATTAGTGTACTTTACCGTAGATATGTTATACCTCAATAAAAATGTAAAAAAGCATAGGTCTCTCAGTTATAAATCATACAAGATTTGATTTGCATTCAGGGTGCCATAGACTCAAAGTTATAAATCTAAGAGTAATGTATTTTTAAGCATTAAAAGTTCTTACAGAATTTCTGATAGTAGTGTCAGCCATTAGTTCAGTCTTTTAGAATCAGACTAAGAACATGAAGTCATCCTAAATCTAGCCATATAGATATTCCATACCAGATATTTTGTCTATATAAGAACAAAAGCCAAATTGACTAGAAAATTCACCTGCCTAGACTAAGGACTGTAAACTTATGAATATACAAATTAAGATTCAGTGTGTGGAAATACAGCAAAAGCTATTTTTTACCAATTACAAAGGGACTAAGTTCTTGCTATAAGCTTTTCTGTAAAAGTAGACAATAAATTTTAAGCCAAAAAACTTAATATTACATTTCTGTTTTGTATTGAATATATCCTGTACATATAAAAGAAAAACAGAAACATAAACACACAGTGAAAATAGGTTCTAGAAAGGCACTCAAAGAAAATATTCCTAGCTGTCCTATCGTATCAGGGAAGACAGAAAGGCTGATAGAAAAGAAATACAGGCCAAAGAATACTTGCAATACAGACTGTTACTAGCCACCATTCAATTAGGACAAAAACAAGAAGGTTATAAGAGGAAAGCCACAACAAAGTAAAAAATGAGTATATTTCTGGACTTTAATCTTATCAGAACAGATGAACTATTAGGACAACACACTCTGAAAAATAAAGGGAGGTTCTATAGTTACCACCAGAATAGAACTTAAAGGCTGTCAAATAAAGGTCAGCATTCTGACAGTTTTGGATTAGTACTATTGCTGGCATCATTTTTTTATTTTTTCGTTACTTTTTTGGAGATAGGATCTCACTCTGTTGCCCCGGCTAGAGTGTAGTGGCACAATTATAGCTTACTACAGCCTCAATCTCCTGGGCTCAAGCAATCCTCCCTCCTCAGCCTTCTGAGTAACTGGGACGACAGGTGAGTGCCACCATGCCTGGCTAATTTTTTAAAAAAATTTTTGTAGAGACAGGGTCTCATTATGTTGTCCAGGCTGTTCTCAAACTCCTGGCCTCAAGCAATCCTCCTGTCTCGGCCTCCCAAAGTGCTGGGATTACAGGCATGAGCCACCATGGCCAGCCTCCTGGCTTCATTTCATGTCCCTATTTTTGTTTTCCTTTTTTAAAATCTATCTTCCCTTCTTTTAATTTATCTTCGGAAGCTGCCTTAAATTCTTGTTCGAACAGGTAAAATACAAAAAAATATACAAGGAGAAATCTAGGCAAGTTCACTGACAGTCTGTCATAGGGAGAGAGGGATAAAAAGTGGTATATTGGGAACATGATTAATATACAACAGTAGGTTATATATTTAAAGACTATTGTAACTGGTAAAAAGTTAAAGCAAAATTGTGCAACTCTTTGGGCATCACACATACTTCAATATCAGATTACTATAGTAGTCATTTTCATCCTATAAAATTGGTATGATCAAGGATCCACAAATTGTGAGTTTAGTTTTTTTGGAGGGACAGAATTTTAGAATTTCTCAATAAAAATAGTACAGAACAGATACTGAAATGGAAAATGAATTCTGTATCAAAAGTATTATTTTTATAAGATATATTAATAGGTAAGTAGTAAGACATAGATATATCTTAGAATCTTTAAAAATTTTTTTCCTTGGAATAATTTTTAAAAATCCAAAGTTAATATTGTTTTTACCTCCAGCAAGCTCCTCTAGACTTGGCACATGAAAAGAAAACTCAGCAAAAGCCATTTTCTTTCTTCTTTAGGATTCTGTACAAATAAGCTATTCTTAGTTAATTATCCACAAGAGTTCACAGTGTACCAAGGATGAACAGCTGCTGCTCTGGAAGTGAACATTAAGACTTCAGTCATATACAGAGGGCAAAAGGGCATTTAGATTTTTTTTCACCTTTGATATGAACTCTATTGTTCCCAGGTTGGTCTCAAACTCCTGAGCTCAGGGGATCCTCCCACCTCAGCCTCCCCAGTGGCTGACTTTACAGGCACATACAATTCATTTTCTTTAGTCATATACCTGGATTCAACATGGAATTTTCTAACGGTTGATATAAGGAATATAGGTCTTAAAGCAGAAGGTACTTATTAAAATAGGTTTATGAATAAGTGTTTAAGTTGTTGTAGATAACAGTATGCATAGGACTCTCAAGTATTTCTATAATAGATAATTTGTGTTTTCTATTCTATATTTGACATTTAGCCTAAAGATTAAACAAGTTTCTTAGACTATCACTTCTATGACAGAAAATTTAAATTACTAATAGCAATGGAAACTTCTATGGAATGATTAACTTTTGAAATTCAAACTTTGCTTTCTTTTTTCTTTTTTTCTCCTTGTCTTTTGTTTTTCTTTTTCCAACTTTTATTTTCATTTAAAAATAAACATACTTTATTGGTAAACAGCTTTAATGTTCCATTATTCTGATAATTTAACCAATTATAATTTGATATTTAAAAAATACATGCTAAATATATTTTACAATAAGTAGATATACATACACAGAGTTTAGTGTCTTACCTCAAGTGTTCAGTTGATGAAGTGTGCAAGCGGAGGAGATAAAATGAAGGCAGAGGAAAAAAAGTAATGTGAGGTGGGCGGGGAATCCCACTCCAGGCCAATCACAAGGAATACAGACAAAACTCCTAAGGGTGTTTCAAAGAGCATTGTTGGAGTTCTCATTAAAATTGTTAGTTGAACATCTCATTAATCTGAATAGTCTCTGGATTTAACATGTTTATTTAGCAAGTGAAAGGTGCTATCTTAGCATCATTTGAAATATTCTCCCCCCACTATTTTTTTTTTAATTTTCCAAAGAGTCACAAGTTTCTTAGAAACTGGGTTTCTAGTTTGGATGATAATTTCCAACAACATATCCTCTACAAATATGCTATTACATACATTTACTTTAGTACTTTATCAAATACCAGCTTTTATTATTTATTTAATATACATAATCTGATCTCCCAAATAAAATATAAATAACTGTTGCTAGTGGGGCCAAAATCCTATATAATCATACTTCAATTATTATTATTTTTTTGTATGTGTGGAGACAGAGTTTCACTCTGTTGCCTGGGCTAGAGTGCAGTGGTGTCAGCCCAGCTCACACACCTCCAACTCCTGAGCTCAAGCCATCTTCCTGCCTCAGCCTCCCTAGTAGCTCGGACTACAGGTGAGCACTACCAGGCCCAGCTAATTTTTTCTATTTTTAGTAGAGACAGGGTATTGCTCTTGCTCAGGCTCATCTTGAACTCCTGACCTAAAGCAATCCTCCTGTCTAGGCCTCCCAGAGTGCTAGGATTACAGGCATAAACCACTGCACCCAGCCCAATTATCTTAAATATAGTTTTGAGTTGAATAATCTATAATTGTTCAGGAATGACACATTTTAACTTTTTCTTTTGAAATAATTTCGGATTGACAGATATTACACACAAATAATTCCTGTACACCCTTCACCCAGATTTCCCAAATGTTAACATTTTATCACATTTTTTATCAGGCAACCAGCAGGTACTAACTTATTTATGAACATTCAAAATCTGCACAATGAATAGTACATTCATTTATAATGAGGATAAAAAAGCACTTTAGATATTTTTGCTTGCAGTAGGAATGAGGACTCAAAATTCAAATATAATCTTAATTTTATACCCTTTACTATCTTTAAAAGAAGGTGAGTTGTTTTTGTTTTATGTCCCCACCAAAATAGAAACAAAGTCCAACTCTGAGAGGCCGCAGCTTGAATAACTGGTTTAGAAATGTGAACTTCAGGCAGGCCAACAGCATAGAAGGCAGTGTGGCAGTATGTGTATGTACCGTTTATGTGTGTATTGGAGGTGTGGAGAGTTTGGAGTTAACGTGAAGAAAGGAGTTAGAAAAGTTCTCATGTAAACTCAGAAAAAATGAAAATGACGTTAACTATAAATTCAAACTAGACAGCTCTACTGGTTTATCATATGATAAAAGAGGCCTGAAAGCGGAAAAAAATTAAACGCGTTCATCCCTTTTTAAAATTACTTTGGGGAAAAACCCCATCAAAACTAAACTAGTTTACATTGTTCTATCTTAACTCAGTAACCAGTTAGGCAACTAATGGGGGGGAGGGGTGGCTAAACTCTGGAAGGAAAAAACCTCCAGCTGGTTTCTCTTGTGATTTGCTAACCGACTCCTCCTACGAGGCAGACCCTTGGCTTAGAGTGAAAGGCTGAGCTACCAAAACAAGACCAAAGGCGGGAGGACAACCGGGTGTGCCATGTAATAACACTGGCCTCCAGTACAAAGGTTACGCATTTGGAGTCACGGTCAAAGTGTAAGCATTCCCCAATATTTTAACACAAAAGAGATTTCTGAAGGCGAAAGTAGACAAGAGTATGACAAAACACCCCCCGACACACACACCTCGCCCCGGACCAGGCATTAGAAAGCCAGACGACAGCTCAGCAACTGCGAGACCACCGGAAACAAATCAGGTTGACAGGTTGTTTCCTTGCAGTTCACACCCATTCCGCTCGCTTGACCTCACAGTTTCCTTTTGCTGTTTGCAGAAATGGTCTTGGCTACTCCACTCACCCAGAGGGTCCGGGAATCCGACTGAAACCCGACCTCTGCCTCAGCCAGCTCCTCCCCTTTTAGGCGAGAGCGCGGAGGCCCCGCCCACCTTAACCAACCCTCCCCGCCCGGCGATCAAAATGGCTCCTCCCCTCGCCCCGCGACCCGTCTCCTCCCACCGCTCGCATTTCTTCCCGGGAGCTAAGTTGTAACGCGAGATTTCAGCCCTACTATTAGCTGGGTCGCGAGATCGGCCCATCCTTTTCTTCCGCGCGGTTGGAGAAGGTAGGCGGCTTTTGGCGTGTTGAGGCCCGGGGGTCGGGCGGGTAATGGGTACACGCCACCTGGGACTCATGCTCCAAGGCAGTCTGGGGTCCTGGGCCGAGGCCTGTGTTGCGGGCAGGATGTGCGCAGCTGAGGCCCGGGCTAAGGCGGCTCTTGGTGCAAGCCGTTTGCCATTCTGGGTAGGTAGCGAAGAGAACATGGCCGTCTGTGCCTGGCGGGCGGGGGAGACGTTGCTGGTCTAGGTTTTCCCCGCGCTGCTCTCTGAGGATCGGGCATCGGGTCTCGGTCCGTGATGGGAGAGAGCTCGCGGCTGTGGGCTCCTCTGGGCCTAGTGGTAGAACTGAGGCCCTTATCGACGTGAGCGTAATGTGGGCGTGGTTCATTGTGTCTGAGATGTAGATGTTAAAATGTATTCTAGACAAGTTAAATGTTTTCTGATTCAGTCTTCATAAGTGAGGTAACCACTGTTAGCTCTTTTCTCCTTGCGTGAGGTTAGGTGCTTCTGGGAGAGGCTTGCCTAAGGTCACACACAGTACATGTTAGCTCCCGGAAAGTGTTTCTGTCTGGCCACGTGGCCTCTAGAAATCGCGAAATCTCAGAATAGGAAGCGACAGTAAGGAGGAATGCTTTCCATACTGGTTCCGAAAAGGGGTTTTTGAGCTAGCTTTATTTTAGTAATCCTCTGTCTTTCCAAAAAAATGTAACCACGGTCTGCCATTAATGCCATTGGACCACATTGTTGAATTTCATTTTTAAGCAGTTGATATTTAGGGACTTAGTTCTTAGACTGTTTCATTTAAGAAAACTAAAAACATCCCAGGAAATTAAAGTATGAAATGTCTGATTTCCTTAAGTACTAAGTTTGACATTGATTATCTCTGACATTTCACTTTGACACTTCTTGTTTTATTTTTATTGTGAAGGTACATCCTCAGTCTTTGAAAGGCACGTTTTGGCTTGTGATTTGTCTTTCACAAATTTTTTTAGAGCAATTTTTGTGAAACCATGGATAAGTCAAAAATTCGTGTTATTTTCGAATATGAGTTCCGTTGTGGAACCAGTGCAGCGCAGACAGTTCGAAATATCAATGAAGTGTGTGGGAAGGATGTGGCTAATGAACGCACAGTGTGTCTGTGGTTTGAGAAGTTCCGTTCTGGCGATTTTAATCTTGAAAATGAGCCACTTGGGCGACCTGAAACCAAAGTGGATAATGATGAACTGAAAACTGTAGTGGAAGAGAATCCATCTGAACCTACACGGGATTTAGCAGCAAGGTTTGATGTTACTATTACAACAATATTGGACCATTTGAAACAAATTGGCAAGATAAATAAGTTGGATAGATGGGTTCCACGTGAATTAAACGAGCATCAGAAAAGAAATCGTCTCGAAGCCTGCCTTTCTTTGCTGTCACGTCATAAAGACAAACCATTTCTACACCGTATTATTACATGTGATGAAAAATGGATTCTTTTTGACAGTCGCAAGCGTTCAGCACAATGGTTGGATAAAGATGAAGTGCCAAAACACGGTGCAAAACTGAATATTCATCAAAAAAAGCTAATGGTGTCTGTCTGGTGGTCCAGCGCTGGTATCATCCAGTACAGCTTCATGAAACCTGGTCAGTCGATTACAGCGGATGTCTATTGCAACCAACTGGACGAAATGATGAGGATGCTTGCTATTAAGCAGCCAAGATTGGTTGATAGAGACAGACCAATCCTCTTACAAGACAACTCTCGACCACATGTCACACAAAGAACACTTATCAAGCTACAACAGCTGGACTTAGAAACTCTCTGTCATCCACTGTATTCTCCAGACCTTGCACCAACTACCTACCACTTCTTCCAGGCTTTGGACCACTTCTTACAAGGAAAAATACTCAATTGTCAACAAGCTGTGGAAAATGCCTTTTGCGATTTCATTGCCACTTGCTCTCCAGGTTTCTTTGAAGCTGGCATAAAAAAGCTACCTCTAAGATGGCAAAACTGTGTTGACAGTTTAGGCGCATACTTTGATTAATTGTACCCCTTCTTGTTTGAGATACAATAAATTACACTTTTGATTCAACATTGGACATACAATATGGGTCCACTGGGCATTTCACAAATTTGAGATCTTAGTGATCTTACTGTCTTGCTATATTTTAAATATTTTGCTAGTTTGTCTTAGGATTTGTTATGACTCATGTCATTCACAAGTATGGCTAAAGAAAAAAACAATCCAAAAAGAAAAGAATGACCAAAGGAGATGCGATAGTGAAATAAGTAGTTACCTTTTTGTTTTTATTGACTTAATTGCTGTATACTCTTTCACGGAGATGAAGACAAAGAGTCATTGTAGTTTGTTTTAGCTTTTAATCAAAACGGTTTGAGAATTCAGAACTCTGAATTTGTACCTTTAATGGCAAAGACGTGACAAGGAAGACAGTTTAGTTACTTAGATGAATCTGGGAATAAATGGGAAGGGGGTGGTAACTCCTGACCATGAGTTTTTAAATTGTCTATTAAATGGAGATGCTTTTGCTCGTATACAAAGGGCACACTTTGCCTTGTAGTTTTCTATGTATAAGTTTTTCTTAGAAGTTCCCTTTGATTTTGGAAAATGGCTTTTTGGCCATTGTACACTAATATTGTATTGATAATTGTACATTAATATGTGGCTAATGATGAAACCATTTTTTACTTGTACTCAGAAGATTGCTTTTGTTGGAAATGAGAATGCTTTTCTGGAATCTTGTTGCATTGAATAGTTTTAGAGTGTAAAAACAGAGGTTAAACTGTGAATGCAGTTTATAGTGTTTTGTTTTTTTTTCTTTCTTAAAGAAATTGATCTTAAATGGACTGTTTCAAGAAAAGCTTAAAAACCTGGTAAATGATTTTGCCTAAATCCACATTACTAATGGTGGCATAGTCTATGTTGAACTTTCTAGTAAATAATAGCTGTGTGTGTCAGCACTTATTTGTTTAGGGAGGCTATCACATTTACCAACTTTCATAATTTCAGAAAAGTGATTAAAGCAAAGAGCAAGTGATGGATAAGTCTGGAATGGATTCTCTTGACTACGTGACATTGGACTCAGCTGTGGAAACTGAAAATCAAAGGTAAGTGGATTTTTACTGTAGAACTGAGTAGATACTTACTGTATTTGGATTTATAGGAAGCATAAATTGTATCTAATGGGTGACAGTAAAGATAATTTTCAGGATTTTGGAAAGAAGGAAGAACAGATTACACTGATCTTCCAGGTTTATTTAATTACAGATTGAAATAGTATTGTTGCAAATACTTTTAATTCATGGTCTGAATATATTATAGTGGAGCACATTCTTAGGGAAATGGTATATTATCTGGGTCGATTTGGTATCTGTCTTCCTGACTGAATTATCCTATTTACGTCCAGAAGGCTGTGTTTGTTTTATTTAGTGGAGGCTTTTTAGCCGGGAAGTAAACAGCTTTTGAGATTACATTTTATCTTGAAAAGTAAAATTTCATTTTTTAATCAGTGCTATGAGATTATGGGCCATTTTAGATTGGGTGCTCAGTCCTCAATGGCTGGCTGCTACGGGGCCCACCTTTTTTTTAAAACAACAATTTTTAATTAATCTTGGTGTGTTTTCCTACGTTAGTCTTGAAGAAATGGGATTGGTTATTACTAGTAATAAGTTCAGTAAGACAAAAAGATAAAATTAATTTTTCCTGTTTTTCTAGTGATAATTCTTCTGGTAGCAGCTTATTTAAAACGCAGTGTGTTCGTGACTCACCTAAACGGAAGCAAAGAAACCCTATTAAAAAATTTGTTCATTTGCCTGAAAGTGTTCAAGCAAGAGAGTCATCAAGTGACTCATCTATAGAACCAGTAACTTTAAAAGCTATTTTTGATAGATTCAAGAATAGGAAACGTAAATGCAGAAAGAGGAAATACAAACCAACAGGAAGACAAAGGGGAAGACCAAAAGGAAGTAAAAACCCTAGATATTCACAAATAAGTAAGAAACTATTAGAAGACAAAGGACCTGGGTTCCCATTTTTGGAATCAGAGACTGACAGAAAACCATTACCTTGGAGAAAAATTTTAAATTTTGAGGTAAGTCAGTACATTATATTTATGGATACTCATAGCTAAAATGTCTTAAACGATTTTTTGGCCACTTCGGTCAACTTGGTCCAGTTCTTCCCAATTTATGATTAAAAAAAGATAGATAACACTTGGAACACATAGTCTGCAATTTTGCTAATACTCTACTGACTTCTACCTAAAGTCTCCCCTATCCTTCAGGTCTAATTTCACTTGAGTTTCTGGGTGGAATCTTCATTGGTGAATCCCTTCTGTGAATATAACTTTGCTGAATTTAAAGAGTAGTGCTCAAAGGCTGTTTTTAATCTCTTGACTTCATCCTATCTCTGCTCTTTAAACATAACTCTGAAGCTCACATGACTCTCAGTTGTTTTTTGCATTAATGTAAGTTAAACCCACACATACCTTTCATGTTCAGTAGATGGTTTCTTAAAGCCTAGCTCTTCCTGATGGGATTACCTGATAAATACCCAAATACTTACTCAGTCTTGAATGAATGTACATTTAATTTATCATCCCTTGCCAGAACCTATAGTTCGAGAGGATTAATACTAGTTAACTTATTAAGTTTAAGTGACTGATAAACATTAGAAATTTTGTTCTTATCTTTACATTTAAAATGCCTTTTGTAATTCCAAAACATGACAAGATTTGTGCTTCTTGGTATCATCCTTGGTAAGTTTGACAACTGCTGTGCGAACTTTTTCTACAATTAGGAATTGTCCACAAATACAGCATAGTTAAATAAAGATAGCTAATTCATTCTTTAGTAGGGGGCTTGTTGGCAGGTTTGAATGTAGGCATCTGCTGAGTCATGAAAAAAATCTTCATCTTGCAAGGCCATGACATAAAATGTGGTGTTTTTAATATATAGCAAGCTGTTGCAAGAGGATTTTTCAACTACATTGAAAAACTGAAGTATGAGCACCACCTTAAAGAATCATTGAAACAAATGGATGTTGGCGAAGAATTAGAAAAAGAAGATTTTGATAGTCGTAGATACAAATATTTGGATGATGATGGATCCATTTCTCCTATTGAAGAGTCAGTGTAAGTTGAATCAAATGAAGTTACTTTGGTCATAGATTTTAACTAAATTTGAATGTTACTTGTTCCATATGTTGTTATCATTTGATACTTTTGTGAACACAGAAAAGGACAGTTCGGATTATTATAGTTGGCTGAGCTTACCAAACAAGACATCCATGATACTGTATTTTGTGTTTGCCTTGACTAGTACTGATTCAGTTGTACGTCACAGCAAAGTATAAAAATAAGTAGGTCGTAGAAGGTTGTGTTATCTAAGTGACATATTTTAATGTTACAGAGCAGAGGATCAGGATACAACACATACTGAACAGGATGAATGTGATATCAAATTGGGAGTAAGTGACTTATTTTTTTCCTGTTTTATTGTGGGAAGACAGGAGTTAATACAGGAAGAATTGTATTCTGTAGTTTTTGTCTTATGCTCCATTTAATTTTTGTAAAGCTCAATAAGTTTAGTGAAAAATGCAATAATAAAAATATTAAGTTTTTGGATACTTGCTAATGAGAACATGGGCTTTTCAATACTACTTTAGTAAATAACACTTTGATATGTGATATTGGTAATTAGGATAGCAAATGAGAAAATACACAGATGTTAATTTGGATTTTTAACATTTAAATGTAGTGTCTGGGTTATTTGAATATGCCTAGCACTCAGCTAAGTGTAATTAATTAGTAAGCCATTTGAGTTATTGCTTAATAGTAATTTTTTTTTTGTAGGCGGATAGTTGTTTCATAATAAGTTCTGATTTCCCAAGGAAGATCAATGTACATGTAGAACAAGAGAATAGTACTAAAGAAGCTGCTGTGTCTAAAAAGAGAGCTACAAAGGCCAAAAACATTGGACAGAGGATACCACGGAGACAGGAACATGAATATCAAAGAAGGTAAACAATATAGAGAAGTGACTTTTTATAGAAAGAAATAACTACAGATAAATGTGGATATATACACTGGCCTGGTGGTGAAGACATTCTTTAACCAAGAACATTTTAAGAACAAAAAATATCTATGAAGAAGTTGTGAAAGAAACTCCTAAAGAATGAGAATTATTAGGAAAAAAGTGTAAACACCAGGAAATTACACAGAAAAAGCTGAGAAATTACCACTTTCTGAATAATAAACAGAAGATCCTGATGTTTTTGACAATGCTTGTTTTCTGAGTAAGAGCTTACTGGTGTCATTTGAGCACTGAAACAATGAAGTGCAGATATTTTAATTTTGAAAAGAAAATCTTAGATAAAATTACAACCATCTTTTTTAGGGTACTTGAAACGTTATATCCAACTTTATTCAGCCAAATGTGACCTGTCACATGTTTAGTATATTGTAGTAACTTAATTTTCCCTTTCCCAAATAACTAGAATACTTTATTAATACTGTTTCCAACTACCATTTATTTTGATCACCACTGTAGACGACTCTGTTACATATACTGCATTTTATGACAGCACTTGTGTTTGTTTTTGTCTAACTCGTGGACAAGGACTTACAGACAGGTGCAAAAAATAAATCCTCTTTTGCAACCCAGAACTCATTGTTCAGTATGAGTTTTGATACATATAAGAAGGAATATTATGAGACAGTTTAAAGTGATAGGGATTGGCATGGTGGCTCATGCCTATAATCCCAGCACTCTTGAGAGGCCTAGGTGGGAGAATAACTTGAGGCCAAGAGCTAGAGACCAATTTGGGCAACATAGCCATACACTCTGTCTCCACAGAAAATAAAAAAAAACTAGTGAGGTGTGCTTTCTCCTAGCTACTCAGGAGGCTGAGGCAGAATTGCTTTGATTGAGCCCAGGAATTCAAGGTTACAGTGAGCTATGATTGAGCCACTGCATTCCAGCCTGGGTGACAGAGCAAGACCCTGTCTCTAAACTAAAAAATAAAAAAGCTTAGGACATGAGAAATCTCAGCTGTATTAATTTAGTATTTTAATTTCATGTTGACATACCAAGATGGCTTTTTTTTTTTTAAAGGCTTTTATCTTGAGAACATGGTGTCTGGAGTTGAAGGTATGTCTTAAAGTGAGTTTTAGGATCACATTTGTTTATGTGTGTTAAGTAGTAAATTGTCAGATTTATTTAAACCTCTTGTAGGTTACATTTTATTAACAGACATTTGTTGCTTCCTTTAAATTCCAATTATGGGCCAGGCAGGAGGATTGCTTGAGGCCAGGAGTTGGAGACCAGCCTGGGCAACATAGCGACACTGTCTCTACACAAAATAAAATTTCAATTATGACATTTATGTTTGAAAAGCAATCTTAGGTTCATATATTCTATAGTGCTGTGGTGGCAACTTCAGTTTCCTTGCAAGCATTAGAAGGTCCCAAATTTACAAATTAGTCTGTAACTATAATCAGAACCTTGGATTTCCCATTCGAGGCATACAACATGTTGAATTGATGCATAATCTAAAATGAGGCAGAAGACTTACTAGTATAATGCAAGATTTAGTAGCATAATGAAATGACTACAAAAGTCTTATATAAGATTTTTATAAATTTGACAAAGCTTAATTAAAATTTGCTTTATCCTTTATAATGCCTGTCATATAATTTACAGCCAGATTATTGTTTTATACTTGATGTCAAATAACCAAGGAGACAATACTTTTATGTAGTTATTCAATTCTGATGAAAAAATTCAGTTAACATTTGCTGAAATTTGTGAACTTAATAGGGAAAAAAACATCCTATATTGCAGTATTTAAGTTCATAAAAATCAAAGTATAATTTATACTTTTTTTCCCTTTGGTTCATCTAAAGTATCTACTTGATGGTACTTTCCATACTTTTATTTATTAGTCTACTCTGGCTTCTAAGCAGTTTGGTGAAAATTCTTACCATGTGATTATGAAATGAGTGATTTAAGTGGCAGGAAATTTTTCATTCTTAACTATTTTTGCAGTTTTCAACATTTTGGAGCGCATGACAGTTCTTGCTAATAATTGCTTTCCTGTAGAGTCTTAGACTTATATATTTAAAAAATTACTAACAATGGTTGAGGTCTATCCCGGTGGGGCTTTTTCTGTAGCCATACATCGTTGGAAACGCCTCATAGAGTAACACTGTGGTTTTGCTTTCCTCACAGGACTATTTGTTAGATCTGTGGAAAGGAACTCTACCAGACAGTTGCTAAAAGTATGAAAGACCTAATGATTTGTTTTTACCTTAGGTATTGGCATATCCCACTGATCTGTACTATTGAGTGTGATGGCTTTAGGTGAGTTTTAATTGGTGACAATGTAATCTTTTGGGAATAGTTACAGTTCAGATGATGAATTTAACTGTTCAACTGCTGAATGATACAGACATGAACTAAAACTTAATTCTGACAGAGCTGAATGTGGCTATAATACATATAAATCTGGATATTAAACTTAAGAGTTATGTTTTAGTTTTTACAACAACTGGAAATACAGCAGCCTTTCTAAATCTTGGTACTTTCTCTATAGGAACTAATGATTTGAACTCATTCATTTTTCTAAGAGGTAAGTGAAATACTTAATTTGCTGAGGACTCAAGTTATGAGAAGCACGTAAACTGAGTATAGCATCCCAATGTTGTTATAACCAGGATTTTTTTTTAGTTATAAAAGATCTTGGCAAAAAAATCTGCCACAATGTATGTATTTTTGTATAGAATGAAAAATGACAAGACTGAATGATTCGTCCTAATATGTATACCTGGATACGTTGATTCAATTGAATTGCTTTAAAGGGATTTTGCCTAATTAAGTTGGCAATTTGAGCAACAGTGATGTTGGCATTTCTAGTGCAGTCTTACAGAGATTTGACTTGATAGTTCCATGTTTAAGTTATATAGAGATTGGGCAAAGATAATGACTAGCAATTATAATATAGTTTCCTGATTAGAAATGATAATTAGAAATAAAGGTCAAATTATTGTACCTATTAACAGGAACTTGAATTTTAGAATTTGTGTATTTCTCATTGTAAACTTGGGACAGTTAAGTCATAATTGCACTGCATGGTATCTGCATTCAGCAGTTTACTCCTGCTGGGGTGTTCAAAGGTCAGTGCCATAGAAATTCAGTATCTGGCATCGTTGGTTTTCTTGGCTTTGTGCATGTTAAACCTGGTATTTCTATTGATACAGTATTTCTATAGTTCTCCCGTTGCTTAGTTTGATATAGTCTTCAGTAATAACTAATGCTTCTTTTTCTAGGGTGTCAAATTGAGAACCAGGCAGATCCATCTACTCTAAAAATGTAAGGTTTTCTATTTCTGTTCCTTTCTGGCTGCTGGCTTCTTCCCTCTATTGTTAGCATTGCCAGCATAACAAGAACTGCATGCAGATACTTTCAGAGTGTGTACAATCTGGAGAGGAACTTTTACCAAAGCCTCATTCTAGATGAGAATGGACACTGTTGATCACAGTGTCCAAAAATTGTTAATGTGGCTAAATTGACACAGGTTATGCTTCCATCACAGTACATGTATTGCAGTGGTGACAATGAGACCTGTAACATTTTGCACAGCTTGTGAGTGGAAATATATGTAAGAATGTTGACTTTTAAATATTAGAGATGCTTAAAGAATAATATACAGTCATGCATCATGTAATGACAGGGATGCTTTTACACAAGGTCAGGATCTTCAGTATCACTGTCTTCCACCTCCACATCTGTCCCACTGGAAGGTCTTCAGGGGCACTAACACGATGGGGCTGTCATCTCCTGTGGTGATAATACCTTGTGAAGGACCTGCCTTAGACTGTTTACAGTTAATGTTTTTGTAAGTAGGGGAAAGCACACTCTAAGAAATATAATATAGATACAGGTGTTAAGTATTATACATAATTGTATGTGCTATATTTTTGTATGACTGGCAGTACAGGTTTGCTTGTGCCTGCATCACCACAATGTGTTAGGTCACTGGGCAATAGGAAATTTTTAGCCTCATTATTATCTTACAGAAACACTGTTCTATATGCAGTCCGTTGTTGACTGAAACATTATGTAGTGCACGACTGCATTAGATCATGTGTCAAAATACCAATGTACTTTCTACAATTCAGCTTTTAGGACCCTGAAGTAATAACTTGCTTGAAGAAATTAGATCCCAAAAATTCTTGGTAAGTTATCTCAAAAGCCATGCAGGTCTTTTATAAAACTTAATTTCAACATTAGATTATAAGTATTTATTCTAATAGGATTATTAGAATCCTATTGCAACCAAGTCTAGTGGTTGATTTATCACTAAATTATGTCGGTATACATTCACATTGGTTATCAAGGATATATGATGTTATGATGATGGGCAAAAATGTTCAACTGCTCTGAATGGGCTGAATGAAAATAGCCTTTCTGAACATCAATCCAGAGAACAGTATGCAAAAGCTCAAAGTTACCTGAAACATGCATGTTTCAAAATAGTTGTCTCGGGTGTTTGTGATCATAGAGCAGATTAACAGGAATGGAAGTAGATCATTCAGCCTTAATTTTAAAATATATTTTATATATTCATTTAAATGAGCTGAAAAGATACAGATAGTTGGAATAAGCAATTTTAAGCCTGGAATTTTCGATACATAATGGTTGGGCACTGGGTTTTAGGATACTTTGGAACCTAAGCAAACTCGAGACAGATTTTTGTATTTAATAGTAAATATGACTAAGAAATTTTTCCATAGGTGGGGAGTTTAAGTTTTCATCAGTATGTCCATATCCAAGTGGAGATAAAAGAAGCCAAAATAAAAAGAAAAGAATTGTGGCAAGCAACTTCTGGTAAGATAAAAACTATTTGCCAAAGGGTATAATGGTCATTACCAAGGCTTTTAGAATGCAGTTTCTCATTTGCTGTGGACATGACCATAAAAAAACTTCCCACTAGGTTTTCTATCTGCTACTTTGCTAGCAATTAGCCTACTGGGAACATTTTATTAACCCTTTATTAGCCTATTTTACTTCCATTGCCTAGATGAGCACTGTCCAAGTGAAAATATAAGGCAAGCAGCATGTGATTATTTAATACATGTGAAATTTACAACAGACACATTTCACATTCTCACTGACCACAGTGCACACCTAGATCTCTTATACCTTGTAGCTTTGTCTAGCTAATTATCATTGTAACCCTTCTGGATGGCTAATAAGTAGGTGGTTTGTTTCATTATATGATCATCTCTAGAAATGTAACTTTTATATTGTTATGTAGGGATGACAGGACAACTGTGGATGGAGGATCTATTAAAAAGGTATGTACATATTACGAAAGACATTGGTCATTTCAAAGAGGGCTCATGGAGTTGTGAAACCAAGAGCTCTTAACGCTGTGACCAAATATTGAAGTTCTCTGTAGGATGCTATAACACTAAATAGTGCTATGTTTTCCTGAGGAGAGGTACAAGACTTTGCCACTCATCATTATGACATTAAATAATCCATGATTGTTGATATGGGAAAGTAAATGTCCCAGATATAACTGAAGTTTCTCTTCTTCAGGGCCATCTTGAAGGTAAATCTTGAAAGACCGCCAGCCTTTGAGGAACTCAGGCTACCTTGACGGACAGTGGAAGGAATCACATGAAATTCCTTGAATAAAAATTTATTGACTTTAAAAAAATAAATAATTTTGCCTAATGCCATAATAAAAAACACTCTCTGTAGAAAGTCAGCATGTATTTTTGGCTCGGAGTTTCTCCAGTGTTTTCTGTGGGAGGGAATAAAAAAATGTAGCAGTTTCAATTGTATACCTTCAGCTTGAAAAATTGGAGTTGCCTCCTCCCACCCCCAATCCTGCTCACTTTATGAAATTCTTTTGCCCTTGCTCTGTTTTGGGCATAAGCTTCTTGCTTTGATTTCTTTTCATTTTGCTGTTGATTGTGTAATCTGTAAGAAATTTATATTGAATTAAAGAGAAATGCTGCAGAAAAGTGGCTCACTAAAAATCAGTCAATCCTACCTTAGAGCCCTTTGTTGCATGAGGGCTTGTGTAGTCTTTCTGTCTTCAGGAACAGAGGCTCTAGTTTTATTCACACCCTTTAGGCGATGCACAGAAGAACCTGAGAAAAGATAAAGTGGTTTGACAAATGAAAGGCCAGATTTTCAACATATCTGTGAAAAAAGGTGAAAAATTACACGTTTTCTATGAGGAATGGAAGTTACTCCTAATCAGGAAGGCAGTTGCTGAAGATTAATTTTTTAAAAGTCAGCATACCTATAGTTGGTTTGTCTGGAACTATTTGACAATTTTCAGAGACACAAATTTTATTCCATATTTCTTTCTGCCTTTGGTAGGATTTTTCCATAAATGGTTTTTTTCTCTTTACAAATGCTTCTTGTAAACTACCTGGTATAGGTGTAGACTTTGGAAGAGTTTCTGTAGGGAAAAAAAGGTACTTGGGAGATAGTGCACTTCATTTAGCTTTATGCCAGGAATATGGAAAATTTCTACTTCCTTTTAGAGTTGTGGGGGCTTAACGTTAACAGGCAGCTCCCACTGGCCCCAGGACTCGACACATTTCAGTATAGTCAGGCATACCTGTAGACACTGTTGGCTTCTCCACCGAAAGCTCTGACACAGCTGGACAATCTGAGACTTCTGTTTCTGATACAAAAGGCAGAAATTCACTCACCTGATGGTAAGAAAGTCATATGTCAATTTTGTTCCAATTTTTGCTTTTAGAGTAATCCCTAAGTATTGGGGAAGGAGCCAAGGAATCTTCAAAAATTTGTTTATATTAACCACATTACCATCCCTATTGTCCCCAAATGCAACAAGATGTTTTCCCAGTTAACACAGTATCTGTTTGCAGATAACACTTCCATGCTCTTGTGTTTGAAGGTTCTAATCTCAGGTTGCCTTCCTTGGATAAAAGGATCTAAACGTGCTCATTGTGGGTGTCAGGGTGACGTTGGGTGGGTGCCTGCTCTCAAATACATGTTTTTCAGGTGATTATGTCCAACTCTCTTGGTTCTTATACTACTGTACATCTGACCAGCGGTACCACAAAACAATTCCTAACCACTGACCCACCTTACTTTGCCATCCTTTCTCTTAAAATTCTTTTTGTCTCTGCCTCTTTTCCATACCACTTCTGTATTTTCATTATTTGTCTATTGCCTCCTTACTTCCCTCGTAAAAACAATTACCAGTTGTTTTGAAGTCAAAACATTTTGGAATATGCTTGGGTATAAAGTACCTTCTAACTTAGCGTCAGTACACTAATTGTATGATAAAAATAGTTCTGCCATAGTGTAGGAGGTAGGTATGAGCTCTGGAAAAAGGGTGTTTGGGACTTCTCTGAAAAATTGTGTAGTGGTGAAAAGAGAAAAATGCACAGTAGTTGCCACAATAGTAAATTGTTGCACCAAACATTTGGTAGGGGTGTCAAGTTTTAGAGTCTTAACTAAAGAGTTAAATCCATAGCATAATTCCCTCCAATGACTAAGAACTGAAATTACTAGGTAGGTGTGAATCAACTGGTTTGCTTGTATTAGAAATAGAAAATAGAAAGAATATGCATGTCATTTTTTTCTTTAGGACGAAAAGTTTAAAAATAAACTTCCAAAACAACAGCCTGCACTCTATATTCACCTCAAATCTGGCTTTCTTTACCCAACTTCTAGGATACCTCTTCTGCCTCTTACAAGCAGAAGGTATGAATTGTAACTCAAGACTTTTTTTTTTTGATATGGAGTCTCAGTCTGTTGCCCAGGCTAGAGTGCCATGGTGTCAGCCTAGCTCACAGCAACCCAAAGTCCTGGGCTCAAGTGATTGATTGTCCGCTTCAGCCTCATGCCCGGCTAATTTTTTTTCTATTTTTAGTAGAGACTAGGTCTCACTCTTGCTCAGGCTGGCCTCAAACTTCTGAACTCAAGTGATCCTCCCTCCTCAGCTTCCCAGAGTGCTGGGATTACAGGCTTGAGCCACTGAGCCTAGCTGTTAACTCTAGACTTAATGTCTGTAGCACCATATATTTTTATAATTAGGACTATAAAATGGCACAAAACTGCTTTCAGGAGATTTTGAGGGCTTTTCCTTTTCTTGTCAGCTCCTGACAAGCACATTAAGTTTACTGCATTTGCATCTAATTGGGGAAGTTTGCAAACAATTCTAGTGTAAGAAAAGACGCCATGTGGAAAGAAAAGTGGGAAAAAAACCTGTTGTGCAATTTTCAGTTATAGATTGCTGTATCGATAAATCAATGTATGAGTAAGAGCTATGAAATTTACCTGAAAACAGCTTTCTGCCTCATTCTTTCTCTTTTCTTCTAGTGTTAAGTTTGCAAAATCCGCTTCAGCAATACTGATATCACTGGTGCTCACTAAAGTAAGTTCTGGTTCTTCCATTATACCATGGCCAGATTCTGTCTCCTTTTCAGTACAATTAAAAGGGAAATCATGTAAAAAAAAAAAAAAATAGCCTTAGAACTTTCAAAATATGCAAAAAGTAAATAAATGTTCACTTTATACATCGTGCATTTTTTATAAATGTGAAAATTAGGAAAAACAACAGATTCCCCTTGAGCCCTCCTACTGCAGTGTTCACTTGTAGAAATACTGGAGAGGACTTTGGGGATGGGGTAAAATAGTATAACTGAAAATACCTACTGCAAGGACTACAGACTTACAGGGGTAGGCCGATAATATGAGTGCAGGCTGACTGGAGCTATGCAGAACTGGAGTGCATATCCTATTCTAAAGGGAGCAGTGGCTGGCTACCAGGTTATAGCCAAATATGGGCCACTGCTGCCACATTATAAATTTTTCAAAGGGAACTATCTTTAGTTTTAAACATTGAGCAAGAATTTAAAAACAGATAAAACACAAGCAACCAAATTAAACACATCTGTGGTGTAGAGATAGCCCTTATTTTCAATCTCCTGTATATTTGTGGAAAAGGATAAACTATACATAGTATTAGAAGGTAAAAACTATATCCATTTGGTGTTGAAACCAAGCAGATTGTAACTTGCTAAATATGAGGAACAATGTTCTGACACTTACTCCAGTAATGGTTTTGGTGCAGTGTAGTGAGGCTTAACACTGAAAGTGCTGAAGCATACCAAGAGACATCATTTATTGGGAAAGTTAGATAAAGGATATATGAATTGGGATGAAAAAGATCTTTCGTAAAATTCTCTGAGGAAAAGCTTTCAAAATTTGGAGTTTTCTTGTTTTACTGGAGATTTCCAGTGACCACAAACTTGATTATCTCAGGAATATTACAAGTAGTTTTGCTTCTCTTTTGTTTCTACAGTTTTTCCTGACAATGAATTTAAATGCTATTTATATAACACAGATTTTACTTACCCAGGTTGGAATAAAGTTCTGTAATGAAAATGATCCAGAATTTACAGAGAGCTCTGATTGTCCTAGTTGAGATAGGTTTTTTATGATTTTTGGGATTTCGGTTTCAGTTGAATTCTCAAAATATTTCTCATTTTGAATAGTTAATGAATGTGGTGTCTGAATTGAAGTTCCCATCTCCACTGTTCTTACACATAATTGAGAGTCAATTTCGTCTACATGTGGATTTATGTCTAAAACTCTACAGGTTTCATTTTTATCAACTTCAATGAGTCCTTGATTTTGTAACATTGTAACAACCCCTCTTTCTGATAGTTCTTCAAAGCCCAGTGTTTCTTTTCTGCTTTCTAGTTGCTGTTTTATTGAGCACTCACTAGAAGTATTTAACTGATCAAATACATTAGCCTCATGAGATGAACTAGAGACTGAACTTAGCACATTTCCTACAGAGAGCGGGAAATGAACACTTTTTTTCTTATTTTGTAATATTTCAGTATGTTCTTCAGAGGAATAGTTCTGGTTTTCCATGCCTTGGAAAGAATCTCTTCCTTCAATGCTAAAAATACTTGGTAAATCAGCATGCTGGCTCCCCTCCTGTGAAGAAAATTCTGGCAGAAGCGGTTGAAAAGATTGTTCAGATCCTGCATTAAGAAGTTTAAGAAATCAGTTAATCATTACTATATGTTATAAAACTGGGATATAGACACAGTCTCTAATAGTTTCTAAGTAAATTGCAAATAATAAAGTCAGGTTACTACCTACAATTTTAGTAGTGAAAGTTGATGTATATAAACATGAATACAGAGATAAGGATGGCCACAGTCATTTTCAATCAACTCTACAACTAACACCATGTATGTTCTCCTTTTCTAATATTATTTAATAAAGAAAGTATGGCTGTAAGACCTTATAAGGATGCTTTTCCCCATAAGAGACCTGAATATTAATTTTAATAACAGAAAGACTTAGCATAAGACATACATGTATATCTCATATATATGTGTATAAAAAGTTCTAGAAGGACATTTTAACTGTAAGGTTTCAGGTAGGGAAGTTGTAGAATAAGAGGCAATACTTTTGCTTTTTATTTTATAAAGTTCAGTACTGTAAAAAAAAAAAATGTATATATTACTTCTGTTATTTAAATAAATATATAATTAAAGAAACAAAACTTATAATACCAGGGACAGAGGTGAGTACAAACGAAGAGATGCCAGACATAATTTCCAAGGAAATGGATGTAAAGAACCAT